TTTTTTACCAAAAAAAGATGGCGGCGCCCAGCAACCAGCGGCCCGGTAAGGCTTGTTCCGCGGCCCGGTACCGGTCCGCGGACCGGCAGTTGGGGACCCCTGCCATAAGGGATAAAAGTCAGACCTCAATGACAACACCTTTTCAGGAAGCAAAGTCATTCAATAGATTCTGAGTCTTCCTTGAAGCTCTGTGAACTTTGGTTGGTTTTTTTTCTGGTACTTCGGTTGGTTTCCTTTCTAGTCAATTGGATACTTCTGTTTTTGGCTGCATTCCACAGAACTGAAAGGTGGGTGCTTATCTTGGGGACTGTTTAAGATTAGTTTTGGCTGGGAATGAAAACAATCCCCAGCGTTGCAATAAACTAGGTTTTGCTTTTAAAACAAGTTTGTGATTAATTACGTTTGATGAAGCCTGGGTCAGAACAGTAACTCTACAAGAATCTTGCTATTGAGGTGGGCGGCATATAAAGTGAAAGAATGAATGAATGAATGAATGGATGAATGAATGAATAAATAAATAAATAAATAAATGAATGAATGAATGAATGAATGAATGAATGAATACAGTTAGTCCTTGCCTTACAACAGTTAATTTAGTGACTGTTCGGTTACAGCAGCACTGAAGAAAGTGACTGATGGCCGTTTTTCACACTTATATGACGTAGCATCCCCATGGTCACGTGATCAAAATTTGGCTGCTTGGCCACGGACTCATATTTATGATGGTTTCAGTGTCCCGGGGGGAGGTCACGTTAACCCCCTTTTGCAACCTTCTGATAAGACAATGGGGAAGCCAGGTTCACTTAACAACCATGTGATTAACTTAACAGCTGCAGAAATTAACTTAACAACTGTGACAAGAAAGTAAAATGGGACAAAACTCACTTAATGACTGTCTTGCTTACCAACAGAAAGTTTCAGCTTTCAGATGTTTGATGGATAACGGAGATTTTTTTAAAAAAAGAAATCACTTCTTGTTTCAGGGAAACCTAAGCTTAAAAAAAATTACCTCTTGTTCCTTTGTTCTAGAGACACCCAAGTGCAGATCATGGAGAACACAATTGCCAACGCCGAGAAATACTTTGGCAGCTTCTGCAGCCTGATGGCGGCCTACACCCGCAAGACTGCCAAACTTCGGGACAAGTCTGATATTTTGGTGAAAAAGCTCATCGACTATGCCAACACAGAGAATCCTGAACTGCGAACAACGGTGAAGAATTTCGCCGAGGACCTGGCCAAAGTGCAGGACTACAGGCAAGCGGAGGTGAATGTGGCGATAGAAACCCCTTGTGTACTGAAAGGTCCTTGAATATTAGTAGCTCGGGTTGGAAGTTCTGTTGTGGGTTTGAGCTCTGAGTTTGGCTCCGATTTGGTTGCAAACGTTTTGTCCCCATTCCAGGAGATTCTTTGGTGTAAACCCAAAGTGCACTGAAGATGTCTCCCCAAATGGGGACAAAACATTTGCAACCAAATCAGAGCCAATCTTGGAGCTCAAACCCACAACATCCATTCTGTACGTCACACCCAGGAGCACCACGTCTTAGCCCCTAAAGTAGAGGTCCCCAAACTTGACCATTTTAAGACTTGGGGACTTTGGCTCCCAGAGTTCTCCAGCCAGCAATTTTGGGAGTCGAACTCCACAAGTCTTAAAGTTGCCAAGTTTGGGGACCCCAGCCCTAAAGAAATATTTGGCCTCTGCAAAAAGGAAAGGATCAATAGGGTTAGGACATGGGATGGAGGGATGTTGATTTATTTTAGGGGATGATGAAAGGGCTCCAATGATTTCTGCCTGCCTGCATTTCTCCAAGGGTGCATCCTGTTTCCATCAAGGGGTGGATGATTACAAAACTGGGGTGCAAAAGTAGTTATCCCAGAAAGATCACTCTAGAAAAGAGTTCTGCTAATCCCTGGTTTGTGATCCTATCTTCCCTTCCTAGCATTCTGGGAGTTGAAGTCCACCCATCTTAAAGTAGCCCATGTTGAACAATATGGCTCTAGATCAGGGATGTCCAACCTTGGCAACTTTTAAGATTTTGTGGACTTCAACTCCCAGAATTCCCCACTCAGCATGGCTGGGGGATTCTGGGAGTTGAAGTCCACCATCTTAAAGTGGCCAGGGTTGAGCAATGTGACTTTAGACTGTTCTGACCACAATTCCCAAAGTTCCCAGCCAATCTTGGGCATGACACATCTGGAGTCCAGCTGTTAAGTAGCAAGCTGCAGTGCAGAGGGGAGCTGCGAGCCAACTGCCAAACTGTTTCTTTACAGTGACCTTTGAATAGTGGCCAACACAATTTCTCATTTAGGTGGAGCGGCTGGAACAGAAGGTGGTTGAGCCTCTCAAGGTGTACGGAGTGCTCATCAAACAAGCCAAGGTAAGCAATTCATCTCCCTTTTTTTTAGCACCCCTGCACTGAGCTGGCAACAGCAGAACAAGAGAGCTGAGCTGGATGTATCATTCAGGGCATTTTCCCCATCCTGCTTAATCAGGAGGTCCAAGGATGGAGAAGTGATAATGATGAAATATGTATGTTCTTGATGCTCATTGAACTTGTTTTATTGCAGATGTTTCATAACCCAACTGGGTAATAGCATCATCACTAAAAGGAGTGAGGTTTGTGGAGAGGAGGATGAGGAAGACTATGGGGTCCTTGGTGATCTCTGAGCTTGGCTGTTTTCTTGCAGATGTTTCATGATCCAAACTAGGTAACTCATCAGGTCATGAAACATCTGCAAGAAAAGAACCAAGGACAGAGAACACTAAAGGACCACACAGTGCTCCTTTCCTCACACCTCACTGCTTCCTAGCATTGATGATATTCCCTAGTTGGGTCATAAAACATCTGCAAGAAAACTACCAAGTACAGAGAGCATCAAGGACCCCATGATCCTCCTCCTCCTCCTCCTCCTCCTCCTCCTCC